TCGAAAAGTCGATTTCGGGATTGATTTTACACTTGAACAAAGCAACATCCTGAGGGTCCCAGCATGTCCCAGCTGCGCTCCCCAATACAGAGCTTCATATCTGCATCATGTATCATAATGTGTGATCTGGCTTGTCATTCAACCCCAACTAAAATGAACAAACTTGAACAAAATAACAAAGCTCATCAACTGAGTTCATTTGTGAAGACTTAGGCATTTCTGGAGGGCCATGGCCCCAGTTCCGCATGTTTAATCGACTCTGCCAGGAACTTTTGCATGATTTCTCCGGGCTGGGGGGAACTTTATGGAACTTTGCCTGAAATCCAGATGTCAAATACACCTCTTTGAATCTCACTGATCTCAATTAAACATGCTCATAATGTGTAATAGTGTATACCCTCTGGTAATTTAACAAAATAGCTATTGAAAATGGCCGTAGAAATAGTGGATTTTCCCATTAAACATGGTGATTTTCCATAGCTATGTAAACGTTTACCAGAGGGTAGTATATTATAATCTTTAAGTTAATTGGTATATTGCAACCCGCAAAACATCCCTGCAGTGAAGTTCAGAATTGGAACTCATTCCGAAACCTGACGAGTTGCTCTTCCAGCAGGATCATTGCCATAGTGGCCATACCGTATGATGTGATTTATATTGGTTGATCCTTAAATAATTTTCAACAACCCCGACTGTTGATGGTTGATCAAGTCCTCCCCTCCATTTTTCAGCCTTCCATCGTCTCTGCATGACGGGCTGAATGCTCGTCGGCTGGGTCCTTAAAACTGGGCTGCTCCCACCGCAGAAAGGGGTGGGAGCCGGCCAAGGAAAGAGGAAATTTCACCCATTTTCCCCTTGGTGGCAACCTGGTAATCATTAAATTTGCCCATAGGTTGGAGCTGCGGCAAGCTGGTAGTCATTTACCTATAGGTTGGAGCAAGTGGAGCAACCCTGAATCTGAACAATGTCAAAATTGCGGATGATAGGGGGGCAATACCGGGATGACAGTATGATTGCGAACGAAAGTGGGATGATATTTGGGCAAAGTGGGATGGTATACAGGGATAAAGTACGATGGTAATGTTCTTAACTCGCACAATAGTAAACTTCAGGCAATAATAAAAAAATGACGCGTCAAAATTACATTTTTCTTGCCAATACTAAAAGTAAAAGGGCCCCTATTAATTTATATAATGCTATGTTATATACCTATCTCCCGACGACCTCCCGAAATTTATTGCCTGAACAAGCAATTATAACATTATTGTTTCGACATGTTTTGACCTCAACGTTTTTGTGAGAAAAAAATAAGAAACACAAGAATGCACAACAATAATAAACTCAAATGAATTTCCTTCTTGTTTTTCCCTTCAATGAAAACAATAATAAATCCAAAAGTGCCCAGGCAATAATAAACTGTCTCTGTGGTTGTTATGTGTGTGTTTTTTGTGTTTAGTTTGAATCAAACTTACAGAGAAAACAGTTTCCTCTTTCAACAAGAAAACTTAAAGAAACAACAAGCAACGGAAAAACCATTTCCAGTTCCAAAGGAGCTGATCTCTTACTAAACTGCATTAAAAAATGCAATTTTTTGAGTTCACAAAGGGTACCATGGAGATATAGTTTAAGCAATTATATTTCTTCAGCAAAAGCAATAATAAACCTGAAAAACATCCATGGGTATTATTTTTTGCTATTTAAATTGATTTTAAACGGGTTTGAATTCATTTCAAAAGGGATTGATTAAAAATTGTGCATTATTATTATTTTTTTTTAAAAAAATAGGGGGGTATTTTTGTTATAAGAACATTAGTGGGACAAAGTGGGCATCATGTCATAGTAATGGTATGTAAAGGGATATTTCAAAAAGTTAAGCAGGAAAATCATGGGGTAAAGGAAGATGACAGTCGGATAAATGGGATGGTAGTAGGATACTGTGAGATGATATTGGGATATGTAATACCAGCACTAGTAGTTGCGAGTTCGCCAAGAAACATGGAGATGACGGGCGATCAGATTGGGGTAGGATGCTCATATAGCAAAATTATGCGAAATCTATCTACATATGGGGATGTGTCCAAAATTCAAGAGCCATTTGAGGCCACAAAATAAACGTACATCAGTAGACTGTGCATGTTCAAGTGTCCCTTTCCTGCACGTGATGCAAAAGGGCATCCAAACAGCAACAAATGGAGATGTCACCCTGTGTAGTTTGGCTTTACCCAACCAATTTGCTCACTTACTGTTGATATCATGAAATATGATGCAAGGTTTTCCACAAGAATAACTTGCAGATCAAACTATTCCCACCCTTTCAATTGACATGTAAATTCGCTATCAATGGGCGATTCCTTTGCCATGTTGCTTGTCAGTTCCACTACAACAGAAGGGTGTCAAGCGGGATTGCCAGTGGTTGAGTGAGACTTCTTCCCAACATTAAAGCCTTCTATCATCTCTTATAGGATTTAATTATATAGGTTTTGAATTGGATTTGAAATGTTGTATTGACAAAGGCTGTGGTCCTCAACAAAAACCCTGGATCCACGGCCTGCAGCACAGCTGATGGCTCAGAATACCTGGGCGCTTCCATGGGATGTGGCTACGAGATGCTATGAGTAAAAACCCAGGGGACACCAACATGGGATGCCCTGCTGCTTGGACTTGGCTCCTGGGTTGGCTGATTTTTCCATCCATTCTGAGATGTTCTGAACGCTAGGGCACTGCCATCCAGCCAGGGCTAAGTCATTGGACACACCAGAAAAGTGAAGGCCTGCTTGAACTCCAATGTTGTCAAGAGGGATTTGTCCAAACATATTTGGCCAACCACCATTTCTTTTGGCAATATCCCCATTTGGTTGATTCATACCCCCATTTTTGATGGTAACATCTCCTGTTCTATCTGTTGGTGATCGCAAAAGCTCAATGTTGGCAATTTTTGTTGTAAATTCGCATATTCTTCACTTGTTGCTGGTTCAGTTCCTAGTTGCATCAAGTATATATCAATACCAATTGTGTGTTAACTCCCTAGTTGTTTCACGTTTTGTTGGTCAAACAGTAGTGATACCATGTTAAACCCGCCAAGTCTATCAATACAAACCATGGCCGCCATGGCCATATTTTGGGGGGATATCCCCTTACATAGCCCTTACGTAGCCCTTATATAGCCCTTATATAGGCCTTCTATATGCTAGGTACCCTCTGGTAAACTAACGTAACTATGGAAAATCACCATTTTTAATGGGAACATCATCTATAAATGGGCCATCTATACCATGGCTATGTTAAATTACCAGAGGGTACCTCCATCTTAGGATCCTGAAGTTCCCATTGAATCACTGCCGACTCGAAATCCACTGGGCACTCCCCGGCCCGTTCCGCCAGTACAAAGGTGCCGTTCCGCCAATACGCAGGAAGCGTCACTCATCAGAGATGCCATGCAGTCACGATCACCCTGCAGAAATTCACTGTTTTAATGGGATCTAATGGGAATTTATGGGAATTTATGGTGGTTTGATGGGTCTAATGGGTTTTATCCTCTGGTAAACGTTTACATAGCTATTGAACATCACGATGCTATTAATGGGAAAATCAACTATTTCGATGGCCATTTTCAATAGCAAACTGTTTGTTTACCAGAGGGTAAATTACTGAGAATGGCAATGTTTGATAGGAAAATGATGAGTAACCAGTGGATGGAATGGAGTATCTTTAGACACGCCCAACATTCTCTCTTTCGTGATTTGATTTGATGAAAATATCCTTCCATCCTGCTGGCCAAGTGCAAAAAACGTTCAGAAGTGATTCAGAAGTGATTCATGTTTTCCTGTCCATTGCACAACTGCGCTGGGTTGCATCATCATGTTTACCCTCTGGTAAACTAACATAACTATGGAAAATCACCATTTTTAATGGGAAAACTCACTATAAATGGCCATTTTCAATAGCAAACTGTTAAATTACCAGAGGGTACCCTCCAATCACGGCTGGAACATCCACTGTTTCTGGGGGATGCTACCATCCATGTCGACTCGGATCGACTCGGCGCCTGGTGTGTCAGCAACCAGGACCATTGACTGGGACCCAGCCGCCTGGACCTCTGGGGACCAATGGTGGGATCAAATGCTTCAGTTTTACCATCTGGTTATTTAACATAGCCATGGAAAATCACCATTTTTAATAGGTAAACCATCTATAAATGGACAATTTTCCATGGCTATGTTCAATAATCAGAGGGTAGTTCTTTTATTTCGGGTGTTTCAAGATCTTTCATTGGTTCAATAGAAGGTGTTTTGGAGGCCGTTTGATACAAGATGCAGCTGGATTTCAATTTATCATCGACATCAAAGGAATGTGCACAATGACCCAAGATAATGGAGACACTGTATATAATATAATCACTGTGTATATATATATACATATATATATATACATATGTATACATATGTATACATATGTATACATGTATGTATGTATGTATGTATGTATGTAAATATATATATATATATATGATATATATATATATATCATATTATGTATATATATATATAATATATATATATATGTATAGCACCCCCACGCCATGCAACAGCGATGGTGCAGGTTTTCAGCCTCACCTTGAAAGTTGCGTTTTAGTGCCGTCACTTTTCTTCCTGCCATGATACCGTCGAGGTCGTGTTGCTCTAGTTGGATCAGTTGAGCTCGACCGGCGCTGATCCCAGTTGATCTAACGGATCTAAGTTACCCAACTTGGATGTGGGATCAGCATCTTCAAAACCATCAGAGTTCAAACTTCAGGACATCGACTGTACACTCACCAGCCAAAGTCTTCCACTGGTTCGTGGTTGAGCCCCCTGAAGAATTCTGCCAAATAGTCCATTGACCCTGCTCTTTTTTTTGCGGTCTGGGGGGCAGTCTCTTCGCTGGACATGCCCGTCTCTACCCCCCGCCCTCATGTAATTCTGAGGATGGAAACTCATCAAGTTCTTAAATCTACAAAGCATTCAAGCATCTCGTTTGATGGCGGTCAAGATCGTATTCTTCTTGGATTTCATATGCACTGCTGATCTCTGGCGTACCATTGCCACGTTGGGAATCGCGGCAAACCGCTCCTCATCAGGTTTTTGCGGTCAGAAATGGGGTTGGTTGCTGCTTTATTTTGCCATTTGGGTTTGCCCAGAAAATAGGTAGAAATAGATATAGATAAAAATAGATATATAGATAGATATATACCTCACCACGGCCAGTCTTTTGTCGTCACACAAGTTCTCGACAAGCCCATGTCTTTCTCCCATTCAAATTACTGATGAACAAGGGAAACACACCAGAAACAGTGGGGTACCAATCATCAGGATGTACTCTTAATGTCTAGAATTTTAGCCAAGCATTTCAAGTGAAATATTAATGTATAATTATACTGGACATTGACAATTTACACATCTCACTCTTGTCAATCAATCAGGGTTCTCAACTTAGATTTACAAAAAATCAAACAGATATGGATTCAACATTAGATAGTTACCCGAGAACTTCCGATGGTTTTATTACTTAGAAATATCATGAAATATCCAAACTCTGTGCCAGGTTTCAGAGCTTTCAATCTTGACCTGGTCCCCTTGACAAAAACTTGAGTCTTCGCTGGTTTTTTTCGGTGTCATCCATTTTTCGGTCAGTTAAGCCCATTGGAAAATTCAGACATAGGAAAGTCATCTACAGACAATTCTGTGGTTGGATTACCAGAGGGATCCAAAGGGTACCGTATGGGTCTATCAACTCCTCTTTTTGATGGGCTTTTTTGGTGACGTTGTCGTGGTGTAGCTTGCCCGGCATCCCTGGGACCCATCCTCTAAGTAGCTCACCCATTTCGCGTATTGCAGATCATCTGCCACAGATTGTCGGTACAGATGCTTCAGAGAATTGGGGGCATCTCTCAGATGCGGCAAACAGCATGGTACCAGGATACCTTAAGGATCGAGGCCAACGGGATGTGGGGGTAACTTGAAAATAAAGAACCTCAGTACCATCAAGTATCCACCTGGACCCCACAAGTACCCATCTCAAAATGGGGTCATATAATGTCATATACCCATTATATCCCATTGTTTTGATTTATTTTGGGACTTTTGCAATCTTTGTACTTGGAGAGTCTATAAGCCTATAGGTGTTTGAGCTTTCTGCACTCCCCAGGGAAGTCGTTCTTCCCAGTTCAAGGCGAGAAAGTAAGGAGATGTTCGCTGGGTCCAAGTCCAAACGCTTTCCTTGGGCAGCCTGCAGGTTCCAAGGTTAAACATGTTCAGCCCTGAGAAATGAATAGAAATGATACCCTCTGGTTATGTCAAAATAGCTATTGAAAATGGTGATTTATGGTGGATTTACCCATTGAAAATGGTGATTTTCCATAGTTATGTTAGTTTACCACAGGGTAATGTGCCCTGCTTGTCATTTTGGTCCATAAAAAAAAACACATCCACTGGGAATTCCGAATCGCTTCCAGGTGATCCCAGCCCAGATGCAAATGCGAATCGATTCCAACCTGGTTCCCGGTGCTTCCGATTGGCATTTGGAAAAGAACGAAGGCTATGGCTGAAACACATCTGAAACACCTCTCATATCTATCATTGAAAGGGTTCTCCTAGAATCTGACATGAAGCATCATGAAGCCCGATATGGCATCCACAAGTGGGTGCAGTGCCATGATATGACAGTTCCGGTTTGGAATTTCTGTTTTAGTAGTCTCTATCCCCATATTTGTAAGCTACTTGAATGAAGATCCAACTAGCTATAGTGGTTAACGCAACTCCAACTCTCAAATTCCTGAGATGACACTATAATATATGTCAGCTCACCATTCATAATACGTACTTTAAATTCTTGGGATGAAAGTTGACTGTATTTCGGTAAGTCTGTAAGTGGTTTTATCCCGACCGGGGTTTCTCAGAGTTTTTGACCCTGGGTATTCACCCCGCTTCGCGTGGGGTGGCCGCCCACACCACAGGTTTATTTCGGTCCGTGAGAGGGGCTAAGGGTGGTTTTCCCCCCTGGGGGCTCCCCAAGCTAAGAATTTTCACTTTCCCCCCCCGTGGGGGCTCCCCAAGCTAGGGAATTTTCACTTTTCCCCCCGTGGGGGCTCCCCAAGCTAGGGAATTTTCACTTTTCCCCCCCGTGGGGGCTCCCCAAGCTAGGGAATTTTCACTTTTCCCCCCCGTGGGGGCTCCCCAAGCTAGGGAATTTTCACTTTTCCCCCCCGTGGGGGCTTCCCAAGCTAGGGAATTTTCACTTTTCCCCGCCGTGACAGCTTCCCAAGCTATGGAATTTTCACTTTTCCCTCCCTTGGAGGCTCTCCAAGCTGCGGAATTTCAAATAGCTAGACAACGACGCCTAGATAGTCCTCCAAATCCCGTGTTCTTTGAATGTGTTTCCATGTTTTTGCAATGGTTTCCTTCAAAGCACGGTACTTTACACTTTTGTCGCCATAAAACCGGTCGAAAACATCATGTTCGACAATGCTTCCAATTCCCTTATCTCCCCAACCGTTGAAAATACCGCTATTTACAGTGTTTTCTTCAATTTTTCCATGTTCCAATGCCGGTAGCCAACTCCAACATATACAAAAGAAATCCTCCCAAAACATTCCAAAACATTGTTTTTGACAGTGTTTTTCCAATGTTTCCAGTCAAACAGACGGTAATTTACACGTTTTTTGCCATAAAGGCAGTAAATCCTTCCAAAACATTGCTTTTGACAGTGTTTTTGTAATGTTTCCAGTCAAGCATACGGTAATTTACACGTTTTTTGCTATAACGTCAGTCCAAAACACTTGTTTTTGCAGTGTTTTCAATGCTCTGGCATCCAAAAACCATGCAAAATCTTGCTATGTACAATGTTTTTTTCATTTTTGGCCGTTTTTCCATTGCCGGAAAGCTACCAAAATGACCCAAAATTCCATTTCAATACCCTCTTGCGCTCAGACACCCAAAAATCCTCGAAAAATGTCGAAAACACCACCGAATTCTGGTCTCGGTGCGAAACCGTTTTTGGCCCCCCCCCCAGCTAAAGCTGATATAGCGACTGCTATATTAACAAATGTCATTGAGCATTTAGTGTTGCTGTTTTGCCCCCCAATAAGCAAGCCTTCACCGCCAAAGCGGTGTGGGCGGATTTTGACTCTGGGAGCACACGTTGATCCCCTTTCTTGAGGGGTAATCAAACACTCAGTGCTCGGAAAAAAAAACGATGCTGAAACTGGCTTTGCCTGAAAATGGGGAACCCAAAATCCATAGGTGAATGATCAGTTTCCCTATGAAAGAAGGTCATCACGTCAAGCGGGTTAAATGTTAAATACATCCCAAGTATATCCTCATTATATATCATTAATGACAATGATCATTATATTACTACCAGTACTATTAAAACATATTAAAACCAATAAAAAAACATAACCACTAAACCACACATCACCCAGCAACTCTTCAAAGAGTTCCACCGCGCGCACGCTGAGATTTCCACACAGGTGCAATCCGACCATCGCCGTGGTGCGTCCCCGCAAATGGCTGGCGAGGCGGGGCAACGAGGCGGAATCCTGGGCCGGGAATTCTTTGGATACCTCGAATGGGGATTTTATGAAAGAAAATAGAAAATGCTGACCCATAGGATCCATGTATGGTATATATGCTAACATAAAGGGGGTATATTGATGGTAAATGTTACCATATATAGCATACATGGATCCTATGGGTGAGGAACTAGTAACTATGGGAAAGTGTCATCGGAATTTGACCCAAGAGATGAGTTTTTTTTTTATAACCATTGGAATCCGATCAGGATATAAGATCTCTATAATTAAACATGTGCTATGGGGTTTGTAGACCTCAAAAAGTACGATTTTCATGGGGGTCATGAGGACAACAAAAAACATCCGGTAAACATGCGACCTCATCCGGATCGCTGGCAACCCATCAAAAAGTGGGGTTCAAACACAACAGAAATAGCTTCGAATATGGTTGGTGGTTTCCATGAAAGTATTGGACCGTTGGGATCTCCCAATCAAAATAGTTATAATTAGGGGATTATTGGATTATACATTTTCAGAATTGAACATAATAGATTTTAGAAACCACCAACCAAATTCCATTGCAAATAGAAGAAGTCCAGCAAATCCTGCTGCAAATACCTTGCTCTGTCAAGCGTGATCGTGAAGATATCCAGCAACAACAAACGATCCGACACATTTTCAACTTAAGCAAACTCATTTACAGTCCACAATCCGATGCACACTTTTTCGGGGAACCCTGTCTGGACTCCCTATCTGTGAATCTGGCATCTGTTTTCTAGGATTCCAGTGCTTGCAAATTGATGCTTTAGAGCCATCACTAGTTGCAGGTCTTACGACTGAGAGCATCACAAAGCAACAGCAGCACCCAAAATACCCAAACCAGCTCTAAGTTGGTCAACAAAAAACCCCAGACCCAACAAACCACAACCAGGAAAACACAACCAACTGCTGCCAGAAGACTTGACGCACAGGCCAGCTTCTTTGTAATGTGGGATTCCTTCTGGCCCCACACGATCCAGGGCCGACACGGTTAAGTCGGGACATCGGGTGGAAAGGACCAGCGAAGTGAGCGACTTGCCGCAACCTTAGCTGATTGCAAACCCTTGAGTTGACATGGCGAACTGGTAGCCAACGACTAATTGAGTCCCTTGATATGGATCAGAACCAACCAGAATCAAAGAGGTGGGAACAAAAGACAAATGAAAACATCTCAACCCAAACATCTTGGGGTCAACATCAGCACCCAAATCTGTCAGAATCTATCAGACATGAAACATCATGAAACCAGCCTTGACTGATGCGTCAATATGCGTCAATGTCCTTTTGCATCCTACCCAGACACTCATGATGGTGCAAGATTCTGTGCATCAACCGAACCTATCAATATATCGCTCAACCGTGCTTCTCCACGTGTTCCGACCTGTTGAAGCTTCACTCCCGTTTCCAACAGCTTGCAGCCGGCAACATAGATCCAAGAAATGCCAATGCTCAGCATCCTCAAGAATCCTCGCTGGCTCAGGTCTTGCAACGGTCAGGAACTCATCTGCGCACTCAAACACACTCAAACTTGACTCGTGTGTACACACACGTCTGGGGTGGGGTGGGGTGCCAATAACCTTCACCACGGTCACACAGGCAGTACACACTCACCATGTCTTGGGCTAGAACGTTCATCAACCCATGCACACACAGGCACTGCACACTCATCATGTCTTGGGGTGGGGTTGGGGTTGGGATGGGGCGGGGTGAGTAAAGTAGAAAGACATGACAATGTATGATCTAAGACTGGAGAACTTTTGCGTGCAAGGATGAGTCACAAGAGGGAGTGTACAGATGATTTTTTTAAAAAAAACGTGTGAACAAACAAGGCACTAACCTTCAACGAATCCGACTGTATATCAAAACAAATCCTTAAGCCTTTGAAAACATCTTGGCTCCAAAACGCGAGGCATTAAGGAAAGCATGATCACTACCTGCCACCCTGTATAGTGAAATGGAAACAACTTGTTTGTCTCGAGGGTTGGCACGGCTGATGGTTCTGTGCGTCACGTATATCGTTTGGCGGCCCGGTTGTGCTGTGATTCCATTTCCTCTATTTCAACCCACACAGACCATCATACAGACAAATCTTCCCCTTCTGGTAAAGACATATTTGGCTGGAGAATCCAATTTTTGATGGGAACGTATATACACTCTATATCTATATGGATATATATACACACTCTATATGGATATATATATATATTGTATATGTATTGCATATGTATTTTAATTCAAAATCCTTCAGCCGGTTGCCGGTTGCCAAGTCTCTGCGGACACGAAATCTGAATCTCCTCCAAGACGGCTAAGGACTCAGAAAGCTCCTGCGCCCAAGCAGGGCATAGTCGCAGCTTGAGAGCTTTTACATGACCCTCTGGTCATTTACCCTCCGGTAATTTAACAGTTTGCTATTGAAAATGGACATTTATAGTGAGTTTTCCCATTAAAAATGGTGATTTTCCATAGTTATGTTAGTTTACCAGAGGGTAACATATGGAAATCTTCACTCTTAAAAGGTAAAATCGTGAAAAATCATCTACACATGGGCCATGTTTTTTCAACATGTAAAAAATGATCAGTGGGTAGCCACCAACAGCCACCAACAAACTTGACCTTTTGGGGCGAATCTAAACCACATGTTTGGTAGGGCTGGTAGGCTGTCACCGAGTCGACAACGGCTTGGTTGGATGCCATCCATGGCCTCACGTTGGATGTAACAAATGTGGCGGAAGTCCTCAGAGAACCATGTTGGAATCATTCAGAACACCAAGAATCCTTGAAGAATGCAGAGAACATATGACATATTGCCGCGGTGAAAAATAGACTTGAACATTTTGAGCTGTGACCCTGGGAGCCCTGGATCAAACAGTGATCAACCCACACATACCCCGATTCCACATAATCATAATCATATCCACTACTGCTGGTTTGTGATTTTGAAACCAAAATCTCAATTCAACTGGGATTCAATTGGGATTCTCATCCCATTTCGGATCGAAAACCAAACATGGTTTCAAACACCAACCAGGCTGGCAATATCTCCTCATCGACGTCGGTTATGTAATCATCGACGACTGTCCCCCGCCAACCTTTGAACCATCCCAAATAGTGTTGAGACTACGTGCTCACCTGGATCCCATTTTTGCTAATCAAGTCAAAGACACATCACTCATTTTCGGTTGAAAACTCACCCTTCTCAAACTCCCATGGTTTCGTTTGAAACCGTGGTAACCATCTCTGATCTCTGGTTGCTTATATCAATCATGCAGGATTTGTTTCCCAGATTCCCGGATGCCCAGTCCTTGTGGAAAGTCCTGGACTTGTGAAAGGTGTGGAACTCTGGTCGCATCAGCGTATCCCATGTGGCAGAACTTCCATCTAGGCGTTGGTGAGCCCCCGGGGCCGTGGGGGTCATCCCAACGGCTTCCCCGTTGAAGCCGTACTCAAACAACCAACTATGGGGATAGCAGCAATGATAGAGGGGCCTACCTTATGTGAGTTTGGACAGTTTGGGTCAGGATTCGGCATCACCAAAATGGAACATGGAACATGCCGAATCCTGGCACCCAAATGACTGGATGCTTCAAGCCTAGCAACAGTCCAATGGGTTCCCAGTGTGCCCACTGACACTCGCACTATGGTACAACCTGACTAGTGACTAGTGGTAATTATACGTTTAATTAAGTAATTAATTAATTAAACGTACTGTAACTATACTTTAAATCTCCGAAATGAAAACAGATCTGACGATCTGGTTGGTTGCAACCCGTCCCAAGAAAGATCGGGATCAGCATCTCTAATACTGTAGGACCTGCTGCATAGAATGATGGACTGCGATCCAAAGCAGCGCTTTATGTGTCAATATCTCCCCATCAACCGGTTTTTTTGCAGATCTGGGGATTCGCAATGAAAACTTGACAAAAACCATCAATGTCCATCACTGATATTGAACAAACTGAGACACATCCGAGTAGAAACTACAGTAGCCAACATGGGTGACTGACCCAAAATATCATCCCATGAAATCGTCATTCCACCATTCAAACATCAAAAATCCCCATGAATCCCTCTTTAAAAAAAAAATACCCAGCGAAGGCAGAACTAGCAGCATCCACTCAGCGTTCCCCATGAACCCCGCGCCGGGAAACTCTCCGTTTTGGCGGTGATTTCTTCGCTGAAGAATCGCTCAAGCAGCTGATTTTCATGTTCACCTCGAGGAGGCGATGGTACGTGGTGATTCGGAAGCCACGAGTCTCGGACCGTGGTCCATGTGCAAAATACACAAACTTGAATCTATGTAATATTATATATATATGTTTGGATGTACTGTATAGGATATATATATATAATTAGAGCTACTGTTTAGTATGTTAATGTATTTTCATGCAATTGCAGAGATGGATCCACACCATATGGAGTGGTGATGGATTTGAAGATACACCAAATGTATCCAAATGTGGTTTTAAGCAGCGAAACTGCTGGAGATGAGACAACCAGTACAAATAGGGCCCTTTCAGGGGATGGCCGGTATTGGCCGGTCAACCTTGGTGGGTTTCCATAGTGCCAACCTGTTGTAACCCACTCATAAGTAGAATCATCATGGATACCATCATGGATACCCTGAGTGAGTCCCCAGTAGCCCCCAGTTGACTCAGCTATCGATTCATAGTGATTATTTCCCAAAGAAATGACATTATGTAACCCAATGTTGTAAGCATCAACATATGATAATATAGATACATATGTAGATAGGTATATATATATTATTGCTTGTACATACCCATTCTACCACATATGTTTGATGGTTTCACTCCCAAAATTGTTGTTAACCTCTGGTGATTTAACAGCTTAGAATTGAAAATTATCAATTCGAATAGCTAAAGCATCGTGTTGGTTAAATTACCAGAGGGTAACCAAAACAAAATTGGCATACCCTCCATATTATCCTATATCCCCATTAAATCCCAGTAATTCTCCATTATATCATTATCTCAACAATGTCCCCGTATTTGTTAGCCAGTTGGTCCTTTTAACCCATCCCAAAAATGTTCGTCATCTCAACCCATCATCCCATTTGTGGTTGAACAATAATAGATATTTGAAAATCCCGCACCCCAGTTCTTTAAATCTAAATGATTTTTCCATAGCTATGTTCAATTACCAGAGGCTAGCAAAACTCATGGTTGGATTCCCCAGATCATAAAGATATGTGATATATATATATATGTTTTTAATGGTAACATTTCATGGTTTGATTCCCCAATGTTCCCAAATATTTCAACAAATCATGGTTACATGAAGATACATATAAAAAAATATGATGTTGTTACCCAATATTCCCTCATTACTAAACATATGTAATGTTTATAACAGACAAATAAACAAATCCATTACTCTCTGGTAAACTAACATATCATAGGAAAATCAACTATACCCATAGGATCCATGTATGCCATATATGGTAACATGGATCCCATCAATATACCCCAAATGTTAGCATATATACCATACATGGATCCTATGGGATATATATAAATGGGCTATTTTCAATAGCAAACTGCCCAACTACCGGTAAAAATATGGCCCCCCATGCCCACCTCTCAGATATCGATCTGCCAGCGATGCGATCCTTGGGCGCCGCATCAGCTGCTGGCCGCAGCAGGGACAGCGCGATGACGTCGAGTGCACGGCTTCTAAGGCCAAGGCCTTGGATGAAGATCTGGGGAGATGAGATGAGATGATTTTCAATGGTAAACAAACATAGGGATTTTATAGGATTTTATGGGATTTTATGGGATTTTATGGGATTTTATAGTGGTTTAATGGGATTTAATATGATATACCCTCTGGTAAACATACAAAAAGCTATTGAACATGGCCATAGAAATAGCTGATTGACCCATTAAAAAAGGTGTTTTTCCATAGTTATGTTAGTTTACCAGGGGTATGTTCAAGATATATTGATAACAATCGACAATAAATATACATATTCAATGGATACATTCAATATTTTAATGAGATTATTACAAATATTGATGGATATATATATATATATGTATATATATATATTCAAGATGTCTAGTGGTATTCAATGATTATTCAAGACATCATGATCATGGGTATAAATGGATATTGATGCTGAGCTATGTATCGAACATTTATATTTACAAATATGGATCATACAAAGGTTGCTGTAATATTAACTCAGATTTAATATCATCAATTCGAGTTATGGATACTACTGCAACATTAATTCTGTGGATCTTTTTTTTGTCAGAGAAATAGTCATAAATCAGATTCATATCAAAAATACGGTGGATAGAAGAAATCCTGCACCAGTTGATAGGTGGCTTATCCCATTATCTATAGGGTTTCAACCATCCAAGGTGATGCAGGATTCCTTTCATCCACAGTATCACACGAATATGCAACACATAGCCATGACAATAATGGGAGGTGGAGAGGTTTCTTTTCCTTTCAATATTGATGGATAGAAACACGATGAATCATGATATTCAATATAGAGATAGATAGCAATAAATAAATATTAACAACTAGTCCAATAACATACCCATGGCCTATGGATTTTTATTTAATATAAATACTGGGATATCTATAAGACTTGAATATCTTAAATATCTTAAATAGGAAAGTCAGTCATGGATCTTTATGGCAGCCTGTGATTTTTTGGACATTTCTATGATCTATTTATCTTGGGATGATGATCCTCTGGCTCGAGGGGAAAAACGTCAGACTGGGGATCATCATCCTATGGTAAACAAGAAGGAAAATCCTTTTGCCATAATGACGTAATCATTATTACCATAGGAATGACATGTCATAATGTCGTAATCAATAGTCATTGGGGATCATCAATAGGAACATCTTTGACATTCACAGCCCTTCTTGTCAATTATTGGAATTTATTTTTGTCATGGCCACTACATTTTGTTCGGCTAGTTCGTACAAAGTCTCATGAGCATGTCCAAGGATTCAGGCATCAAACAATCACCTACCCATCCAAGAATAAATGAAGCATACGAGTAGGATAAACGATCGAAGATCCTGGACATTTGTACGACAGCGGCGCTCGGTAAGGGGGCTTATGAACCCTACAATTGGGTTGGTGAAGAATGGTGAATCAGCTGAGGTTTTCAACTTTTTTTTTTGCAGAAGGCCAGGGTTATCTTGTAAGTTACTATAGAAATTGTTTGCAGATGGGTTTTGAACTTCGCCCGGATACAGCAATATTTATCGAATATATATATATATATATATATATATCTGGGCAAATTATAACAATTCACACACCTGAAATAAGGCCATTTTGGGATGATTCCCCATATAAAAACCATGATTCCAGGGCTCGGGAGAACAGTGAGGTCGTTATAATTCACCCAGATATATATATATATATATACGTACAGCTATGGCTTTGGCTATGGGCCCAAACTCCAGATTTTGTATGGAATCATAGGTTTTGACGCAGCTGGTCCATGACTACTGTAACCCATGTTTTCTTTAGAATCCACAAATACAGACTGAGCTTGGGTCCTCAATTACAAAAGGATAATTTTTGTCCTTACCAACATGGACTATGACATGGTACAGTAGGTGCTTTCTATATAGGTCTCTGAGTTTGGTACATCAGATTGCCAACTGAAACAGGTCCAATGCAGTAGCAGGGGTGCATAGATTGTGTTTCACCGCAAAGGCTTTCCGCAAAGCCGCCCCACATATGACCCAATCATTGGGGCTCAGGGGCACGCAGTCGTGGACTGAGATGTTCACACCTGCGGGAAAGACTGGGCATAAATCCCCATCCCAATGCTTTACCATAGCAATGATTTGTTGCATTCGTTGCAGATTAAATACATATTAACACTGATGCTGATGTCATTCCTGGCATCTTCTTGATTCCTAGCGCCATTCTCTTTGGACAAGACGTGTCACACATATCCCAATCAGATGTGCTGGCCATCTCATGAGTGCTGGTTACCCTATGATACTCAAACCTGGCAATAGTCTACTGTAGACAATTCCCCTAAAAATCATATCCCCAGTCTGGTATTGGTGATAGTCCCATCTTCTCCAGGAAAAACACAGGCTGTTTCTCATTGCTTCTTTTTTGGTGACCTCAGGTAGGTGACTGTAACAGTCTTGCTCGCGACAGATGCATTTGGGGAATCAAATGGGGAGGTAAGAACAAACACAACGTGTTCAGGCCCTTTGTGGCTATCATTCACCTATAATGGGCTGGAGCAACAAGATAGGATGGTTGACCTTTGCCAATCATGACTTATAATGCAGGTAAATCATGCAATGCCCGCAAAATCCCTCCAAGTTATCTGGCTTCCCGATTTTGGGGAATGGACTCAAACCAACAAATGGAATGTAACATTTTCCACTTGTAGATGCGGTTCCCATTTTACAGGGGTTCGTAGGGGGATTCTGAACATCGCTTTCAGCTATGTGGTTTGAGATCATATTCCCTTTTTTTATTCAATTAGGACATTTGCCAACTTTTGCTTTAATAAATTTTCTTAAATACGTCATATGTTTTAATATAAGTTCATATGGCAGTGTGTCAAAACCTTGTACCCCTGGTGAACATCAAAATAGCTGGTAAATGGATGTTCATCCCACTAAGTGACTAAAAATGTATCTACAGGTATTGACCCATACCCATATGTGTTTAATAAGGTTTTGCAGCTGATAGGGGGTCTTTGGAAATGGATTCTAGGGTCCTTGGTGATTTAGTTCTACCTCTGATTGTGTGATATATGTTTTCCATTATTTATTTCTTTATCTATCTTATCTATCAAGGTAGGTGGCCTTGGTATATACTAGTGAAAATGATCCCAAAGGAAAGATCGTCTTGGGCTAGTGTCCCTTGGATGTTTCAATATATTGTTAATTCTTATCCGCCATTCGGTAATCATGCCAAGATGGGGATTGATAATTAGTGTCTCCATCCATTTACCCTTCTATTCGTGGAAGTGCCAGTCAGAACAAACGATCACCATTCGATCGTAGTTCAAATAGGTTTTTTTGGGTTGGGTACTTTGATAAAATATTAATATATTATATATATATATATCAATATATGCAGCCGATAGGGGGTCTTTGGAATTTGATTCTAGGGTCCTTGGTGATTTAGTTCTACCTCTGATTGTGTGATATATGTTTTCCATTATTTATTTCTTTATCTATCTTATCTATCAAGGTAGGTGGCCTTGGTAAATACTAGTGAAAATGATCCCAAAGGAAAGATCGTCTTGGGTTAGTGTCCCTTGGATGTTTCAATATTATTAATTCTTATCCTTCTTTCGGTAGTCATGCCAAGATGGGGGTTGATAATTAGTCTCTCCATCCATCTACCCTTCTATTTGTGGAAGTGCCAGTCAGAACAAACGATCACCATTCGATCGTAGTTCAAATAGTTTTTTTTTTTTTATGGGGGGTTGGGTACTTCGATAAAATATAGAATATATTATCTATGTTGTGCAATTGATCTGGGTTCTCTGGAAATGGATTCTTGGGTCTTTCCAACTATTTAATATATGATAGTGGAATTGAATTGTATTATAGGTACTTTATTATTTTCCCTATGAGGTAACCAATTGGTTGATTAAATGGGTATCATCTTACCATTGGTTATTTAATATAACTATTTGTTTTTTACCATACTCATAGAAAATTTTATGTGCATTATTATGTTCATTCTTAGGCAACCACTTGGTTGTCCCAGTAACGGTTAGGGTTATTTTATTTTATTATATTCCTTGGATTAACTGGGGTCCACTACCATTTCTGAAGGGTACCAACCAATTGCTGGATCAAAATGGAAAAGGTATCAACCACGCTCTTGTTTTTTCTAGGGTGGTGCCCCCATATACCTTTGGTATAAAGCCACCAATGTTAATGTTATCCCTGATTATCATTATTTTTTTTCAAGTACTAAATTTCCCCCATTATTTTTACATCTACATCATATATCCTTTAAATGCAATGTCCAACAGCTAATTTGCCGAAGTCAGGGCGCAGAAATCAGCACCCTGAGTTAGGAAAAAAAATAAAAAATGACGATATCCTAGGTGTTTGGTGGGGTATTGCCTAAGTAAGGTCGCAAAAATCTGCACCTAGACTTGGGCAATACAGAGGTTGTACCCTGGGATTTAGGAAAAAAAAAATTGCCGATCTCAGGGTGCAGAAATTGGCATGTGGACTTGGGAAACAGCCCTACTATTATATTCTACCATGATTTTTGCCGCAGAGGATTCGGGGTCCTTGATTTTGAGATTTAGGAAAAAAAAAAAATTGCCGATCTTTTGGCTTGGGGGACCCCGTATCCGTCGCATCCGCACATCCGTCGCATAACAAAATTTTATTTTATATTTTATCGAAGTACCAACCCCAAAAAAAAACTATCTGAACTACGATCGAATGGTGATCGTTTGTCCTGACTGGCACTTCCATAAATAGAAGGGTAGATGGATGGAGAGACTAATTATCAACCCCCATCTTGGCATGACTACCGAAAGAAGGATAAGAATTAATAATATTGAAACATCCAAGGGACACTAACCCAAGACGATCTTTCCTTTGGGATCATTTTCACTAGTATATACCAAGGCCACCTACCTTGATAGATAAGATAGATAAAGAAATAAATAATGGAAAACATATATCACACAATCAGAGGTAGAACTAAATCACCAAGGACCCTAGAATCAAATTCCAAAGACCCCCTATCTGCTGCATATATTGATATATATATATATAAAATATTTAATATTTTATCAAAGTACCCAACCAAAAAAAACTATTTGAACTACGATCGAATGGTGATCGTTTGTTCTGACTGGCACTTCCACGAATAGAAGGGTAAATGGATGGAGACACTAATTCTCAACCCCCATCTTGGCATGATTGCCGAATGGCGGATAAGAAGTAACAACATATTGAAACATCCAAGGGACACTAGCCCAAGACGATCTTTCCTTTGGGATCATTTTCACTAGTATATACCAAGGCCACCTACCTTGATAGATAAGATAGATAAAGAAATTAATAATGGAAAACATATATCACACAATCAGAGGTAGAACTAAATCACCAAGGACCCTAGAATCAAATTCCAAAGACCCCCTATCGGCTGCATATATTGATATATATATTATATATATAATATTTAATATTTTATCAAAGTACCCAACCAAAAAAACATATTTGAACTACGATCGAATGGTGATCGTTTGTTCTGACTGGCACTTCCACGAATAGAAGGGTAAATGGATGGAGACACTAATTATCAATCCCCATCTTGGCATGATTACCGAATGGCGGATAAGAATTAACAATATATTGAAACATCCAAGGGACACTAGCCCAAGACGATCTTTCCCTTGGGATCATTTTCACTAGTATATACCAAGGCCACCTACCTTGATAGATAAGATAGATAAAGAATAAATAATGGAAAACATATATCACACAATCAGAGGTAGAACTACATCACCAAGGACCCTAGAATCCATTTCCAAAGACCCCCTATCAGCTGCAAAAACCTTTAATATGTTTTAATGCCCATGTACTTCGCCTTTTTTTCTAGCCCCAGCCACGTGGGGTGCAGCGCCGCATAGTCCGCCGCCGTGCGGTGGCTGCGGCTTCTGGCCGCCACATTGGCTGCGGCACCGAAGGACAGGATCCGCTCCACCAGGACGTCCTTTTTGGTCCATGGCATCGTCCATGGGGGATACCATTCCCATGATCAGATGATCAACCTATGGAATACCATTTGGTTATTTAACATGGCCATGGAAAATCCCTCATAAATGGAGGTTTTAATGGGAAAAACATCTATAAATGGGCAATTTTCCATGGCTATGTTAAATAATCAGATGGTAGATACATTTGTTGTTCCCAAAGCAGACCTAGTCTGTAGCTATATCATGCTATATCACTCTATTGGAAAATTCATATTCAGACTAACGATAAATCCACAAATAACCAAACACACACACAAACTATTTACCCAAAGTTATGACTCACATCAAACCAGTTTACTCAACTAAAAAAGAACTTGAGTTCCATCCATATAACACATATATATATACAATCATATACATACCACATATTACAAAACAATATATTTAGAATAACACATAGTGATAAGTATGTATAACAAGATATTAGTTCTAAACACAAAATATTAGAACACTATATTAGTTCATGTCACAATACTTATAACAATATACTATTTAGTTCATGTCACAGAACTTCTCAGAACTCAGGTCGGCTCCGAGGTACTGATGCTGGGCGGCCCGAGGCTCCAGCCGCCAGCATCAGACAGGTACAGTCGTGACGTCTGGAGCGGCGTTTCAGCAGCTCCGGGGCACGTGGACCTGGAGAGCTGGGGAGAAGGCTGAAACATGGCTGAAAAATGGCGGCTGGTTTACCAGCAAAACAATAGCAAAACTATGAAAACATGCTGGTTGATCTTGTTATATATATATACACTATCGATATATATATATATATATATGTATATATGGTATATGATATGTATATATATATACACATTATGTGTGTATGTATGTATATATATATGTAATTTGTATTGTCCAAAAGTGGGACAATCAGCATAGATGGTGCCAGACTGTGGCGGCAGTCGGGAGTTTCATCACCATTGGTACCAGTACATTATCTGGAGCCATGACCGAGGTCTGGTCTCTGTAGTATCCCCAACTTGGGCAGGGTATAACTGTTGTTTAATCTTCAACCCTCCTTATAAGCCAGTGACGCTGGTAGTTGTTTCAGGCTCTGGATTGAAGAATCCCTTGGCAGTTGGAAGCTTGCAAGGGTTATGATGCAATCCCTGACCCCAAAATATTGCGTGCCCCACAGAAAAGCCTGGTTTGGTAGTGGATTGTTGGAGGATGTTAGGGGAACTGTACAACAATTAGGCAAAAGGATTCTTTTTTCGGCTTCCCAAACCCATCCAGGGCCAGTTGTAAACACGTTGATCCAGTTGATCCATTATGTTTGTTGCTCAATCCCCAAATTGTTTGTTGTTTCATGTCTAAAACTTCCCTTTTTTGTTGGTTACCCTACTCAAAGGTGGCCGGAAAATCCCCACTTCGATCATGGCTTCCCATTGAAAGCTGGGCGCTCTTCAGAAGTTCCATTGCCAGCGCTTCATCTCCCCTCTGAAGCGCCCAGAGCAGCTCATCCGGATTCTTTTCATCGACGGAGGCGGAAAACGCACCGAGGCGGGAAACGCTGGAGCGACACGGTCCCTGGGTGACTCCGAAGGACTGAGAAATCCAAGGCTTCAAGGTGTTCTTTTGCACAAAAAGGCCAGGATTTAGCCATGAAACTTGGGGATGTAATATGATGTAATCCAGAAATGATGCTGGGATGCTTGATGTTGATTGACAAATATAGGGTTGCAGTAGCTAGTTTAATGGCCACTAAGACTAACATGATAATCCACGATGGGAATCAATATTGGTACGGATCAACGGTCAACACCTGTTCCCTACAGTACTATTTACACCAAAATAGTTGGTCATGGTCATGATGGATGCTCATGCCAAAAAACGAACACACAGCCACAGAACTATCTTTAAATCTTTGAACTGCAAGTACTCTCAAAATGATGGCAACATCTAGCCCAATTTACCAATGTTTAATATACACATACAGATGTGTTAAACTTAGGCACTCTAGAAATGGGATTGACTCTTCCGATGATCATCCCATGTTTGTTGCTTTGTATCCCCAGAGCACCAACTAGTCAGACGCTTCCATCTTGGTGATTTAAATATGTTGTCATTTTGTGATTTATCCATATGTATGACTTTGTGGTTTGTGATGACAAATATGTTATCCATATACATATTTGTCATGTTGTGATATTTATCCTAACACTCTGTCAAATCATGTCAAATTGCCTTGCTGGTGGTGAGTCTACATCTTTGGTCATATCCCCATGCTAACCCCATGGCTGGTGACAATTCCTGGTGCGACCCATTGGCGAAATTGTTGTTTTTGTCAGTGCTCAGTCCAGTTAACATTTCTGCTAGCACAAACACACAGAAACCATCTTTTTGCATCTTTTGCAGTGATTCATTAATAGTGATTATATAATAGTGACCAATAAGGATTTTCATGGTGATCAATAGGGATTTGTCTGGATATTTTCATGGTGATCAATAGGGATGAAAATCATAATATGATTACCATCTGGTTATTTAACGTAACCATGGAAAATCACCATTTTCAATGGGAAAATCCACTATAAATGGGCCATTTTCCATGGCTATGTTAAATAACCAGAGGGTAATATGCACCCCCCGTTTCCGGTGGCTAAAAAACCATCCATTGTCCCACGGCCCGAGGCACTGGAGGTGGCCTCCAAACAGCAAACTGCAGCGATCGGAGTGAGCAAGAAAGGGCCAGCAGCAACCAGGGAATCGCAGGTTTCATGTGGAGGCGCCGTAAACAAATGGCATTTGATAAACACAGTTTCCTGATGAAGATTGGAAAAAAGAACTGGTAGTTTTCACAAGAAAAAATCAGACGCAATTCGCGCTAGCTTATAAAGAAAACAAACAAACAAACTATAACAAACTGCTTACTTTCGATCAGCTTCACAAGTTCATGAGCGAGGTCAGGAATTGTGAAAACCCTTTTTGGGATGGGCCATCCTTGACTGCCAAAATGGAGCGGCAATGGCATAGCGTGGAACAAACAATGATTGTGCCAACAACAAGCAAAACAATATCATCGTACCAGTATAAACCCCACTGTTATAGTAGTTGTAGGCCAATGTTGGCCAAGTAAATCCGCATAATTATGCATGGTTATCGAAGTGTATATGTATAGCTGGAGTCACTACGGCAATAGCAAGCATTATATATGGAATCCTGAAAAGGTATGGCCAGAATGTCCGTAGAAGAAGATGCTCTGAACTCAAGAAAATTCGCTGGCCGATTGGATCTACAAGCTTGCCCCTCAATCAAGCTATCTAACAAAGTGTGAACAGATTCTGCAAATCCAATTGCAGCCATATCCGCACGATTGATTTGAAACCACCAAGCAAATGGGTGTTCAAAATTAGGGTACCCCCAAACCCTGTGCTTCCCCATTAGACATGACCAAGTTTGGACGATAATATGGGGCCCCCATTTACGAAATCCCCAAATAGAAATTTGCCAAGGGTAGAACCCACAGCCAACCCCTACTTGGCGGAGATTGCTCCCAGCACCCAAGATACAGGGAAGAAAACTGAGTAGAGAAAGAGATACAATTGCCAGTTTCCACACTTACGTATGTTTCATTTAGCTTTAGTGGGCTGGAGCAACTCTGCCAGTTGTGGGTGGTTGCATAGTTCACTGGATGCAGGAGGGAAACCAAGAACAGCAATTGGGATTTGCCCCTAAATTATGTATACACTTCAACATATATATCATATATTGTAAAGTATATTACACTGTGAAATTCTGGATATCTCTGAGTATGGTCTTGCCAAAGTATGGTTTCCCCCAAGGAGCCCGGCGGAGATTGTATCGCATCCTCAAGGCATTGCTGTGGGAACCCCCAAGCTTCCATGTTGAGACATGTTGGCTCACCATAAAAACGTTACATAACCATATATTAACATATGAGTAACATCTCATGTCCTTGAAAGAGTTGGAGTGCGTTGGTTGGAACATATCGGTACACATTTGTTTCATCTTCGATTCTGGGTTAATCAATTATTGTCCATGCATCCATCATTTTATAGGAATGTAGTTGTACGGCTGAGGCTTGCCCGGACTCTCGATGATGATGATGATGATGATGACATCATCATGAGGATGATGGTGAGGATGGGGATGAGAATGAGGATGAGGATGAGGATGATGATGATGATGATGACGACGACGACGACATCATGATGAGGATGATGGTGAGGATGAGGATGAGGATGAGGAGGATGATGATGATGATGATGACGACGACGACAACGACGATGACAACGATCAGGAGGAGGAGGAGGACGACGACGAGGAAGACGACGGCGACGGCGACGGCGACGACGACGACGATCATCATCATCATCATCATCATCGTCATCATCATCGTCATCGTCATCGTCATCCTCGTCATCCTCGTCATCCTCATCCTCCTTATCCTCCTCATCATCCTCATCATCCTCATCATCCTCATCAGCCTCCTCCTCCTCCTCATCATCATCATCATCATCATAATCATGGTCATAATCATGGTCAATCCTAAACCCTAAGCCCTCAAACACAAAGTCCAAAACCTGATGTAAGCCCCAATAAGTATCACGTTATTGTATTGTTCCACATCTAGAACATGTCTGATAATAGCATAGGTGATATTTGGGACTGGGGGCACTATCTTGGTCTGTGTTTTTCGTTGTAGTTTCCAACATGATCAAACGATAGCCATCCCAAACTGCCCTTCCTAGAAACCGACCTGCCGATGGACCTACGCATCTAAGTATCTACCTGGCGAAGATGTCCATCAATTCATCCATGTACCGTCTTGGATAGTTACCCTCTGGTTATTTAACATAGCCATGGTATAGATGGCCCATTTATAGATGGTTTACCTATTAAAAATGGTGATTTTCCATGGCTATGTTAAATAACCAAATGGTAGCCCATGTTAGCCCTACTAACCATCATTGCAGTGATGTCGCATCGAGGTCTTTGTGAGGTATCCAGATTCAAGTTTGCCCCGCTCTGCGTCAATCGAGGGAAAACTGTGCACAACTGGATTAGAGGATTTAGAAAAACTGTCTGGAACGGACTAATTTGGATAATGCTAACATATGCGTTGTACATAATATCAGTAAGATACAAAACTGAATTATCTGCTGAACATTATACATGCATACATAAATAATCATAGATGTACAAATATAATATAATTATAATATATATATTTACCATTGGATACCCACACTTTGGCGACTGCTCCAGTCGGACACTGTAGCGGATAACACTGCAGCTCTTCCTTGCCTTCTACTGCTGAAGTCCCCAGTGATGATCAAATGAATCCCACAACATCCACTGACGTGAATTCAAGGAAAAAAATGGAAAAACAACATGGAAAAGCTATGGAGTCATTTTGGTTTACCTCCTACAATTAGTGACCTATTGATGTGCTTCGTGAAACTATGTGAAAATAGGGGTTACTTGTGAAAATGGCTTTAATGATTTATAGGGCACTCATTTATAGTAATTTGTGAATACTATGGTGTTCGTGTCAAAATTGTTGGGGAGATGTTCGATTTCCGCGACATGTTCGCTTCCGCCAAGCGTCCATAGGTACCGGGCTTGGTGCCTAGACCCAGATTGTCATTGCATGTGGAATTTATGTGGGACCACCATTCCCATACTACTCCCAGATACTATTCCCACAAGAAACACCCAATAGTTGGAAACTCTGCCCATCAGAAATCTCAAGAGTTGCGAAGATTATGGGAATGAAGGGCCCATTAGTTGTGGGTCCCTACAAATTCCATGGACATAGTGATTCGTTGTTCCATGCTTGTCATATCCAGACCTCAGCAATTTCCAATGTTTGACAAGTTTCAATTTGTTGTTGCTTACATCCATACATTACTGTTGATATGCTGTCAAGAATGGGGGCCCCTCAGTTACAGCCCAATTCGGGAGGGTTTATCCATTTTGTCCCATTTTTTGAGCCTGCATCCATCTGTACTATTCTGTACTCGCGTTTTTCCCAAGTGAATTCCGCAGATTATTTTCTACCAGTGAGGGGTGTTTAAAACTCCATTGCCAATGTTGCATACCTTCTCTTTACTTGGTTCATATACAACGTAGCCTAACCAACACAAATAAATAAACAATCTGACAAAAATGTATATAATTATCTCCATGCAAGCCTAAGACAAAACGATACTTAACATTTATTTGGTTAGGATACAGGATAAATCAGGATAGAGCATAGTTTAAGCACATATATACATACATATATTTATATATATATATATACATATATATATATTATATTAATATGTTTAAATATGTTTGAATATGTTCACATAGAATATTCTCATCCATGGTAAGAAACATACGGGTTTGTCTGACAATACGATACCTGAAAACCCGTGGGTTTATTGTAATTTTCCCATTTTAAAGGACAACAAATTGGTTTTTATACGGTATATGTACCCCATGTTCAGACACACCCATAAGCAATCAACCTATCACAACCTGCCGACCCAGTCACCTTTGAAGCCACGAAAGCATCGGGTGAAGGCGTTCGTAGTTGGGGCGACTGCTGCACGGCGCGGGACCTTGGGAGGGCGCCAGACGCCACTTCCGAAGGGTAGTCCGGTCCAATTTCATGGCGATTCATGGAATATTATTCGGATATTTCGTGAAAATTTAATGAGATATTAAGATACTAAATGAACATTTAATGGGATATTCAATGACAATTTATATAATGGTATATTTAATGGTGATTTAATGGGATATTTCATGGGAATATAGAACCAACATGAACCAAGTTACCCTCCGGTGTCGTCACACGAGGCTGGGAAATCCCCGTGTCCTAGCCATTTTGCGTGTTTGATGGGAAAGTCATCGAACGAAATGGGGGATTGTCCATTGATTACCGGAAGGCCGGAAGGTAGTCAATATCCTGACCAATAGCAAATAACTCAAATATGGAAAAAGAGGGTCAAAAAATCTCCATCCAAGGTTGACACGATATTTCACACAATGGGCCTCTATATTCAGATGTTCTCTACGCGACACCACAAGGTATATGAGTTGGATTCACTTCCCAGGATTTATAGACATTACTAGCACTTGCATGCACTTGCTAGGTTTCGACAGATTTGTTCCATTGATAGGAAAGTTGAGATTGTATGGAGTATGTAATGTGTTGTAATGGCAAAATAATTCAGACAAAGATGGCACATCCCTTATCTGCAATTAGTAGGGGCCCATCACTTTGCAGATGCCTTGGCAGGCATTGTATGAAATTGAAATAGACACAGTCGAAGGAGCGCAGTGTTCATCCCCAAACGCTGCGGAAGGTTTCGTATACACCGTAAAATACCGTAATTTAAGTCGTTATTTCGTATGTTATAGTTGTACCTTGTCACTGGGATGAGAATTACATGTTGGGCGGCTTCCCTACTGTTTTGGTGGCGATGTTTTTCAGTCTTGAGGGCTCGGGTCCCTATCCGAGGGCCCAAACGGACACCGCGTGGATGGAGTTTCCTAGGCACTGAACGCTTGGATGCAGAGATGATGATGATGATGATGATGGTGATGATGATGATGATGGTGATGATGATGATGGTGGTGATGATGATGATGTTGTTGATCTGGTTGGTGGTTTTAACCATCTTGAAAAATATGAAAGTCAATGGGAAGGATTATGAAGGATTATTCCCAATATATATCAATATATGGGAAACTAAAAAATGTTCCAAACCACCAACCAGATGTTGGTATCAGATGAACTGTTCAATTTTGTGATCAGCCACGTTCCTCAGCCTCGATGCTCTGGTCCTGAGGGTTTCTTAAGTCATGGGGGATCCCCAGTTGTCACCATGGGTTTCAATACAAAACTATACTAAAAATGTCATTCATGACTTGGATGATTTGGGGGTACCCCCATTTTGGACATCTCCATCGCTGCGACCCCCGACCGTTCTCTTTCGCCAATGCGCATCCACCTGTCAGCACCGTTTCTGAAATGCCAGACCCATGGCCAAATGCTCTGTTGGAGTCAAGGTTTCAGGGAACATGATCCTTACCCTCTGGTAATTTAACATAGCTATTGAAAATGACCATTTATAGTGAGTTTTCCCATGAAAAAATTGTGATTTTCCATAGTTATGTTAGTTTACCAGAGGGTAAAATATCGACATCTCTTGAGGCAATGTATGTAAATGTTCCTGCCAAGTCCCCGAAGAGTGAACATTGAACTCGAAGTTGAACATTGACCCTTTGGAAAAGGAATTCATCTTCCAAAACGAAATTTTGTTTCTCGTTCCATGTTGGTTTTCCAATGTTTTCCATGGAGGGATCTACTTGGAAGGATTGGCAATTTGATATCATCACCTCAACAATCCAAACCTGCGATTTTAATATTAGTGGTAGAATCCAAATAAAGTGAAGACATCCAGTCACCGGGAGAAAAACAAACTATTCGCAAATTGCAACATAAAAATCCCAGACTGAGATTTCTCACTCCAAAAAGGAGCTTTGGTTGTTTACTGTCGGGTAATGTGACAGTTGCTATGGAATATGTCCCATTTAGTTCGACGATTTATCGATCAAAACTGTGATTTTCCATAGCAACTCCAATCCGAAAATAGATCCACGAGTTGGACATCTGGAAATACAAGGAGAAATCGGAAAATATCATCCAGCTACCATCCTGGAAACATATTTCTATCTAAATCTTTAGGGGGTTGTATAGGCTTGTCAAGTTGTTCTTTAGGGGGTTGTATAGGCTTGTCAAGTTGTTAATGATTGTTAGTGGTTGTTAATGGTTGTTAATGATTGTTAATTGTTGTTAATGATTGTGAATGATTGTCAATGGTTGTCAATGGTTGTTGATGATTGTTAGTTGTTGTTAATCGTTGTTAATGATTGTTAATTGTTGTTAATGGTTGTTAATTAGTGTTAGTGGTTGTTAATGATCGTTAGTGGTTGTATGTGGTTGTTATTGATTGTTAATGGTTGTTAATTGTTGTTAATGGTTGGTAATGGTTGTTAATGGTTCTTAATGGTTGTTAATGGTTGTCAATGATTGTTAGTGGTTGTATGTGGTTGTTATTAATTGTTAATGGTTGTTAATTGTTGTTAATGGTTGGTAACGGTTGTTCATGGTTCTTAATGGTCGTTAATGGTTGTCAATGATTGTTAGTGGTTGTATGTGATTGTTATTGAGTGTTAATGATTGTTAATGGTTGTGAATGATTGTTAGTGGTTGTATGCGATTGTTATTGAGTGTTAATGCTTGTTAATTGTTGGTAATGGTTGTTAATTGCTATTAGTGATTGTTAATGGTGGTTAATGATTGTTAATGGTTGTTAATGATTGTCAATGGTTGTTAATGATTGTCAATGGTTGTTAATGGTTGTGTGTGGTTGTTAATGATTGTTAATGGTTGTTAATGGTTGTTAATGGTTGTCAATTGTTGTTATAGTGATTGCTAAAAGTTGTTAGCTGTTGTTAGTGGTCGCTAATGGTTGTTAATTGGTGTTAGTGGTTGTACATGGTTGTTAATATATGTTAATGGTTGTTAACTGTTGTTAGTGGTTGTTACTATAATATGTTAATGGTTGTTAATGATGGTTAGTGGTTGTTAATGATTGTCAATGGTTGTTAGCGGTTGTCAATGGTTGTTATTGATTGTCAATGGTTGTTAATGGTTGTGTGTGGTTGTTAATGATTGTTAATGGTTGTTAATGGTTGTTAACGGTTGTTAATGATTGTCAATGGTTGTCAATGGTTGTTAATGATTGTCAATTGTTGTTAATGGTTGTTAATGGTTGCTAATGGTTGTTAATGGTTGTTAATGGTTGCAAATTGTTGTTAATGGTTGTTAATGATTGTCAATGGTTGTTAATGGTTGTTAATGATGGTCAGTGGTTGTTAATGAGTGTCAATGGTTGTTAATGGTGGTTAATGGTTGTTAATGATTGTCAATGGTTGTTAATGGTTGTTAATGGTTGTTAATGATTGTCAATTGTTGTTAATGGTTGTTAATTGTTGTTAATGACTGTCAATGGTTGTTAATGGTTGTTAATGATTGTCAATGGTTGTTAATGGTTGTTAATGGTTGTTAATGATTGTCAATGGTTGTTAATGGTTGTTAATGGTTGTTAATGATTGTCAATGGTTGTCAATGGTTGTTAATGGTTGTTAATGACTGTCAATGGCCGTTAACGGTTGTTAATGGTTGTTAATGATTGTCAATGGTTGTTAATGGTTGTTAATGGTTGTTAATGATTGTCAATGGTTGTTAATGGTTGTTAATGGTTGTTAATGATTGTCAATGGTTGTTAATGGTTGTTAATGATTGTCAATGGTTGTTAATGGTTGTTAATGATTGTCAATGGTTGCTATTTGTTGTTAATGGTTGTCAATGGTTGATGGTTGTTTGAAATTCCCAGATCTTTCGTCTCTTCCCGGCCTTCGCTTCCACCTTCGCTTCCGTGCGCCTACGGCGAACAACTTCCCGCCAAGGCGTTTCCCGACAGGACCTGGGTGAAACCAATGGCTATGGAAAATTCCATTGATGGATTGGGTTTTGCAGAATCATTGGGATATTAATAGTGGTTAATAGTGGGAATATTGAGATACCCCCTGGTTATGACTAACAGTTCGCCATGGAAAATCCCAACCATAAATGGAGGTTGATGTCGCTGGGAAAATCATCTATGGGCCATGGCTTCCATGGCTATGCTAAATAACCAGAGGGTACATCTACAATGTAAATATTGTGTTATGAGTTATGATTGTTATTGTATTCATGAAATATGTTTGTATTAATTATGTTGTTCTGATTAAAATAAGAAAAATAGTACGTGTGTGATCACACCAAGATATGCTCCTTCAGGCTATCCCAGGTATTCCAGTAGCTGTACACATTATTCAGCCATGCTCAGTGGATGGTTTTTGTCTTCTGGCCAGTTGCTGTGCTTATGTCATAGGCCCTGCTCACCTGAGTCTTGCAATGGTAGAAGTGCTCATTGTGGCATTCATTTCATTTCATTTCCGTGCTCTTAAAGGTCTGTGCCTTTGCTGCAATGCAAACAAATTAGGGAAAAACCTTACAATTGGTAGTCGGGAAGCCAGGTGCCTCTGTAAATGGCAGAGCTAGCTCTTGCAGCTCCCTGGATCCATTCCACCAAATGTGAAAATGGCACCTCACGAACGCAAACATCCTGTCTCCTTTCAGCGGATGCAATCTTTTGTACAATTGCGTAAGCAAGGGCCAAACAAAATCGGTTGGGATATTCCTTATGCATCGCAGTACGGAAACACCCTGAATTATCCCTTCCTATTGCATACTGAGTTGGCTTCTGCGCATGAGGGTCTGCAACCTGGTAAATATCTCTGCGGAAGGTTTCCAAGTTGAAGTGCAACAATCCAGTCGGTTTGATGGCGGATGCTCCCCACTTGTATTGAGCAACGTGGGTCAAGTGGGCCTCCGGGTGCTCCAACAAAGTCTCAAGGATAGCACTAGTCCAGATACTGGGACGTGATGGGTCACAAGGTTTGGCAGGGTGTTCTGAAATAAAACAACCTCCAAATCGCATGTGGAAGCTCAAAGCAAGCACACCTTGTTGAAAAAAATTACCTCCAACATGACACTGCTTCAGTTCGCGAAGGGTCAACCCTTCGAGTCCAAAGAGCATGTCGGCAGAGCGGAGTGGCCTGGGACAGGCACGCTTGTCATCATCGGCAGCGGGCATAAATCTGGCTTCGCTGAAAGTCTCACACGGTGAACCCACAACCGAAGCCGCTACCAGTCCGCTCTCGTAAATCTGCAACAAGGCATTCCACGAGGGTGACCCAATCATCAAATCACCAAACTCCAGGGAGACAGCAGTGTCTAAGGAGAGCACAACTACAGTAATTCCACGTTGACGGCATAACTCATGCAAATGGAAGTGTACATCATGTGTGCGGCGTCTACCGCTAAAGAGATGGAGGACAAGATAGGCAGTGGTGCCATCAGGCAGCAAGATCTTGGGCATCGGCCTCTGCTGGGGTAGGTCGAAAAATTTCATACCACGAACAGAAGTTTGCCACTGCATCTGTTGCGCAAAGGCACGTATGACACGTTGCTGGGTCTTCGTGTTAACCTTCACCGCTTTCTGAAGTCCTTCTCGTCTTATCGGCCTGTGGGCAGTGGGCACAGTAGGCATGCAATGGGCAAGGCAATGCTCAAGGTGCGCAATGCGTGCAAGGAGCCGATACCGGTCAAGTTCAGCAGCAAAATCCGCAAACAGGGAGTCAATGTCGGCCTCAGCAACTCCGTCTTCCAATGTAGCAATGACATCAGGTAACCAATGTTCACCCCACGCGAGGAAAACCATCTCAACCCACGGGTCAAGGTCGTTGCCAGCATTGGCCGCAAAGGTGAAGTCGCACAAGGTTTGAACCCAGGCGTCCGCAAGGAATTGTTTCTCACGATCGTCCGGTCCTTGAGGATAATATCTGTAAAACCAATCAAGTGTCACAAACGATAACTGGTTTCCAAGGGATTCACTGGCTTCAGATGGATTGTCCGGGTGGTGTACAATCTCAACTCGTTCAAGGCACTGTTGCAGCTCAGCGGAGATTTTGGAACGCTGTTGTTGCCAAACGGGGTCCTGAAGCACAGAGGGTCCCAAGGTCTGGAGCGCCTCTCTCCTTGTGAGACCAGCAACCCTGGTGGTAGTGCCAAGGTCAACTCGTTCATATTCAACACACCTATTTTGTTCCGACAAGGCAAGGTAACAAGGGTTGTATCCAAGTCCTTTTGGAATATAAGAAAGGTGTTGTTGGAGTCTCTGGGTAGACCACAAAAATTTGCCGCAGTGAAGACATGTGCATCCCTGCAGGAATTTGCGTTCCAGTGAGAACATAGCATGCGTCTTCCGTTGATGTGCAAGCAAGCCTCTTTGGGTCTCAAACCTTTTGCCGCAAAAACAGTCAAAACCAACACCTAGCTCTTCCCAATCTTGGGCAACAGAAGTGAAGGTGGCACCAGCGGATCGCAAATTGCGGAAAATATCTCCATGGAGCTTCCTCGCATCAGCCATGATGCTATTCTGTCGGAGATGCATCTTCCAAGCTCTGCGAACCAGGGCGTTCCAATTGGTGTGCGGATTTTGCCACATCAAAATGATCTCCGTCAAATCTGTCACCCCATTGCCTGGTAATTGCCCCGGAAGGACATCGTTAAACCAGGTCAGGTCAGCTTGAAGTCCATGTAACCAAGACAGGTCAGAGCAATCAAACTCCCGATGGAGCAGACAGTGCAAAAATGGTGGGCCAGTGCGGAAAAGTCTCTGGGCGTACAGGAGTCGGTCGACCGCAAGCCGAGTCCTCACATCTCCAACATTAGCCTTAGCAAGGATTTGCTCAGCGGTATATGGCGTACGCCCCAATCGTAGGACTCTACGCAGTAGCCCGACAAGGGCGCCCTGCAGATATTGCAACTGCTTAGGGGCTGGCGTGGTCCAAGCGCCCAGACCGAAAAACAGTTTAGTTGCGATAAGGCAATGAAACATCTGCAATCTGATCTGAATGGGTAGATTCTTGTTAGTAAGGATCGGCTTGCTAAGCTGAGCAAACGCTGCTTTAGCAGTGCCCACTCTCACACGAAGCTCACACATTAGGTCATGGTTCGATGCGAAAATCGTACCCAAGTGCTTATATGAGGCAACAAAGTGTAACCAAGCCATAGATCCATCGGAAAACTGGCATTGGACACCTGGGATCGGGCAAAGTTGGAACCTCTTTCTGAGGTCACCAGAGCCTTTGCCACGAAATGTGATTACAGCACTAGTCTTACCCTTGGAAAAGTTCAGCAAAAACCCAGCATCAGACAAGAGGTCATGCGCTTTGGCCAGAGCAAGCTGCAAAAAGGGCACAATCGCATCGGCTGTATGTGTGGCTAAAGGAATAGCGATATCATCAGCCCAAAGAATCGTGGGGACATCGATCTCAAGAGAATGCAGGAGGTTCTGGTATTCAGAGCATTGTGTTAACCATTCGTCCATGGCTTGTGCAATCCTGGCCATAAGGGCATGAAACACGATATCCGCAAGAGGGCTCCCTGGTCTTGTACCCCTATGGGTATGCAAAAGCCAGCGGTCATGGATGGTGCACCAAGTACAAATGTGGATGTCTTGTAACAGACGCACAATTGGGTCTGACAGGCCAAGCTCAGCGAGAATACCAGGCAACCTGGCAAAGTGCTGAAACTTGTCGATCGGATGCCCAGAACCCATGAGGGTGGCCATCACAGGTGCCAAATTGCAGCCATCACAAGAACCGACCACCGCTTCACGCACAAGGTGATGGAAAGCACTAGACAGATCAAGAAACAAGATAGCACTGCTGATCCCATGTTGATCGCAAATCGTCCCAAATGTGCGGATGGCCTGAGAACCATATAGCACTTGTTGACCCGGAAATCCCCCTAACTGTCCCGGAGCTCTAGTACGTTCAAGTTTTCCCATGATTTGCCCACGCAAAATTGCATGTGCACGTTTGCCTGCATTTGAAAGGAGGAGGATCCCCCGAAATTGCTTGGCCAAAGTGGGTTGCAGTTGCTTAGGTATGATGGCCATCGGCCCACCTTTATTTTGAATGGGTTCACTTTGCCACAAATACTCTTTCAAAAACAGGTCATGGTATAGGAGCGCTAGGGGAGCCGCTGCTTTGTGAAAGAACTCAGAAGGCAGTGGGTCATAGCCTGTAGCTTTCCCTTCAGAGATCGCACGGAACGCTTGCTCAAGTTGAAAGAGGCTAGGAAGGTCACCTAGCTGTACCTCCAGAGAGGCATCAAGCCTACGTACCGTCTGCATGAAATGGCAATGGTCAACCAAATCAGTGGCATTTGTGGTGGTACCAGCTTCAAGGTCCGAAAAATGTGGCAACCACTGGTCCTCTAATTCGGCCAAACGAGCAGGTCCAACCATGGAACGTCTTTGCTGAAATTTGGGGAGCGATCTTCTGACAACCTTCCAAAGATTCTTGGCTTCAGCTGGGTGCAGAAAAGCAGTACAATCTGTCAATAAATCTTGGTAAAAGGTGATGTCATCTTGTCTGAGCGATTTGACGACTCTGGCACCCAAAACTCGAAAATGAAGTAACGCCACAGCAATTAGCCGATCTTGTGTCATCAATAGGGAATCATATGAGTGGAACAACTCCGGGGCAGTGCAATCACAAGAGGCATGTTTCCAAGCAGCAAACCACGCTGCAAGGAGAGTCTGCCGTTGTGTATGTGATCGTTCATGTAGTAAGTTCCTAACTTCACGTTTTTCTTTCACAAGTTCCCATGTAGTGGCCGTCATGGTGGTTCTTCTGGGTTTAGGTGCAAAGCTGGCCCGCCATGGCCATACATGCTCGACGATGCTGGACTGCAGTTCAGAGGCATGTGTGTGGACATCCAGCTGCCACCCAGGTGTTGCGAGGTTGGCTAGATCTTCAAGGGGGGCTGAAGACGCAAGGTCAATCTGCAACTTCATCTGTCTTGGTCGCTGACCTGCTTGAAAGGGCACAACCTGACGCTGCAGGTGCAACATAACAGTGCGATGGTCTTCTTTCGCCAAACCAACATCAATGTCAGAACTCACCCAAGATCTGCAATGCGATAACGGCCAAGCCAAGGGGATACCAATGAAATCATTGCGGAACCAATGACCACGCGAGTGTCGCCATGTAGCACCCAACCCAGTATGATATGCTGCAAAGGTCGCCGGTAACCACAGCCCTTGGCTGGCAACAAAGGTGACAAAGGGTTCAGCTTTGGGATCCTGTTGCTCAGCTTGGTGATCACCAATATGGCGTGAGGGTTCCGCGCCAACTCTGGCGTTTGCGTCAACCAGCAGGATTCTGTCCCATGCATCATATTTGTGAGGAATGGAAGCATCCAGAGTGTTCCACCAACTGTGTATGGTGTGATCATCAGCACCGGTGTGTGGTGCGTGCCCTCCAACCACAATACATCTCAAAAGCGGGTGGGCAATTCGGAGTATCAAGAAACGCGGCTCAGCAGCAACGATGTCAATGTGGTGTTCCATCATGAAGGAGTCCACCTCAACTACGTCACCTGTAATCTTGCCAAAGGGAATCAACCGATTGAGCCCGATAATGACACCGTAATGTCCTTGGGCATTGGCAGGGCTACGGAACAACCAAAATCTCGAGTCATGCTGGTTGGAGTGCCGCCTCAGTCGAGTCTCTTGCCAGGCAAATAAATGTACCCCAGCTTCATGGAACTGCTGGAGGAGGGAATCCTGGCGAGCTGGCCCAGCCACAACAGCATCACCACCTAGGGCAGAGATCTTACCCGAGGGTTTCAGTGAAAGAAAATTGCAGGTGGCACAAATGAGATTCAGGTGCCCCGATTCAGACTGTGTAGTCGGTAGCTTCTGCTGGTCGCCGGTCGGAAAGACATTGGTTGCGGGTCGGGTAGCAGGCCCAGCTGGCAAGAGCGCCTTTGTACCATCCCAAGAAACGTCAGGTCTGTAGAGGAACCAAAGCCATTCTGCCGCTTCAACAAATGAAGCAGTAGTGGCATGTGCAAGCCAGTCTTGCCAGTCCTGTGTAGGTGATCCCATTGCCGCTTGAAATGCAAGCACATCAACGAGCTCGTTGCCCGGTTCACCACTGTGGGCCTTGACGTGTCGATGTCTCAATTCCGTTTTGAATCGGGATTCAATCCAACGGTGTAGGCACCGTACAAATTGACCAGTACGTGGATGAGAGCAGATTTGCCATTTGCCGGCTGCTTGGTTGCCTACCGTCACTGAGTCAAACCAAAATTCGACCTGGGGGATGAAACCTTGTGAGACCGCACATGTTTTCAGTAAATCATGGGCGAGTTTATGGGCAATGATGGCCGCGTCCAGTTCCGCCAAATAAGAAGAAGTGCCTGGTTTCAGAGAGGTGGAGACAGCTCCCGCAAACATCCATCCATCAGCAGTTAACATAAATGCAGCAACAGCGGCGCCTCCAACCACTGCAGAATCAGCCTTCCTGAAACTCGAACCATCATAATAGAGGCGCAACTCATAAGCCATAAACCTAGGCTCCCACCATGGTTCCTGCGTCCATTGTCGACTGGACGGCAACCAAGGAAAGTGTGCAGGAAGATCAAATGTGGGTAACACAAAATGGGTATCCAACCAATCATGCACCTCAAAAA